AATATTCAGTATACTATATTAAAATAACTTCTTTTTTAGAAGGGAAAAAGAATTTAGCTTTCGGCACATTGATTAAGTTTTTTATAAATGGCTAACGTACTTATTATTCTTAAATTAAAAGACTATCAACTTTAATTAAAAGAAAATTAAATTTTAAAGACTATAATTATATATAATCTTAAATCAAATTAAAAGACTACATATATCAACTTTATTTATTTTATCGATTAGTGCATGCTCTAGTTGGTCAGACAAGCAATTTTAATGTTCTCAAAAATAAAAATTTTTAAGCATGAATCACTGCAGAAAATAAAACTGACAAACAAAAATTGCCCAAAAGTGAGTCATCATGATAATGAAAAGAGTCTTAAAGCTAATATATTTCCATCAAAAAAAGAAATGAGCTGTTCGAATATCATTGTGTTGTGTGCCACTCATTTTCATTAAAAGGATCAAACTGTAAATGTTGATAAATCGATCCTGTTAGATGAAACTGTGTTTCTGAATATAAAAGCTTTTATTTGAAACAAAAACACAGAATAATAGAAACCGTTTGCTTATAGAAACTGAAGGCAATATTTCATCAGAATATAAAAGAGACGTTAAATATGAAAAGGAAACGTGGAGTGCTTTATTAATAGAGAAAAGAATCTAACATGAATATTATTATATGAAATATATTAAGATCATTTTAAAGAGTTTTTTAGATATCTTGTAAAATTATTTTGATTATTAGCTTTTTTTTGTTGTTAGAGTTTAATTTTATACTAAGGTAACAGGTAACAGAAGTAAAAAAAATGATCGAGCAGAAATCACGCGTTTATACATTCAATTCAGTACAATTAGTGATTAATTAAATGTTTATGGTTGCTATACTATATATTATTCATAATTATATTATGAACTTAACCAATAAATCACAATCTTCTCTTTTAAGGTTAATGTTGCAAATAATCTCTTTTAATATATTTTCCTACAAAAACCATTTGTTCCATTTGGAAGAATGAATTTAATGTAATTCAAAATGCAAATGCATCAAAACCAAATCTGAGGGAAAAAAAAAAAAAAAAAAGATTTAACGCCTTTTGACCAAACTTCAATGAAGAGAGAGAGGGGGGGGGGAGGAGACTGCAAATAACCCAAAAATCTGATAAAATTAATGTAGAATGGTGAAAATCTCTTTTGTTACTTAAAAGCAATTGAAGAGCAAAATGTAAAACTACACTTCATTGTTCCCGCCGATGTTGAATGAACAAAAGGGTGAAAAGATACCATCCCAAGAAGCCAGGTAACAGCAATATTTATCCTCTTACAATCACGCATTTTCCTTTCTATCTTCGCAACAACGCATCGATTAGCCAAAATCAATTTTTTATTTGAAAACAATTTAAACCAATTTCATCTGGAGACACGCGCTCTCGTCGATGTAAAAAAAGCCAAAAGATAATGCTACCGAAAACTGATGGGGAGCGAGGAACCTTCCGGCCAAACAGAACCTTTTAGGTCGTGAGAGAACGCCGTAGGGGTACTCGACTGAAGGAACAAAAGCAAAAAGGAGTGAAAATCGTCTGCCATCTAACGCTTCTCCATCCTCCCCTCACCCCCCACTTCCAAGTCGATCTTCTTGAGGAAGGAAGGGGAAGAGCACCTGGCATGGATGGGTTAAAGAAGATTCTTCTTGAAAATGATGGCTCATTGGGTCGATACCCGGAAATCGTTCCCCCCCCGATAGCTTGCGATGAAACTTCAACACTACTTTTCCGATTTACATCGATAACATAAGCAGGGACTTTTAAGATGATAAATTATTGCATCACCCGACTGAAACATGGGTATTTACATAAATATCAAGAAGACAACAAAAAGAGTAATACACGCAGTAAAAAACATTTTTAAATCAAGTACGTAAAATAAAAAAAAGAACATCTTTATTAAATTTTAATTTTTTACGTATTGAGATGCAAATTCAATGAATCGAAGTATACTAACCTTGAATATGCTAAGCGTTTGTGCATACCCCATTTTAGGATACTAAAGTATTCAACGCACACAAAAGTAGTTTTCTATAAATAAACATATCCTTTCCTTTTGACGGATTTTGGACTTTTGTCTCTCAAATGGGGGAGGAGGGCGCAAACTTTAAAATATACTTCCATTATTTTAGGCAGAGGAACGACAGAAAGTTTGGGTCCCTTACTGTTAATTTAACTTTTTTCAAGCTGACAAAAAATAAAAATAATAACAAAAAAAAATCGAGTTTTTAAATTTTCAAAATGCCTATACCTTATGATTACAAAAAAACTTTTGACCATTGTTAAAATAAATACACTGCATAAAATTCCGAATCAAATTACTGAATGGGCATTTAGGCTGCCAGTATTTTTTACAATAAAATTATTTTTCATGGTAAAGTTTTACGAGACAAATAATCATATACAGTCATTTTTACAGTAATATTTACTGTAAAATTAAAATAACTGAAATTAAATAAATATTACTGTTAAACGGTTTAAAATTTTACGGCAAAATGGCTTTTACAAAATTCTGTACTTAGTGTGCCAGTACATTTTACCGTAATTTGATCCGGAATTTCTTACAGTGTAACGACGATTCCATAAACGAACTTTCAGAATTAGTCTCGAATTTTTCCAAAAGCAATATTTCCAGGCATTTTTTTACAAGAAAAAAACATCATTAATAAAAGAAAGATAATACCTGGTAATTCATTATTCCTCTTCGGCAATAAGAAATAAATAACTTTACAACAAATAAGTTTTTCAGACAAGCATAATGTCCTTGTAATTCATCATTAAGAGAAATTCTCCAGACATACTGAAATTTTTTTTCTTCCAACAGCGATAATGAAAGAAAGGAAATGTATGAAATCATATGCAGTTAAAAGATCATTAACCGATACTTCTAGAAACGCACACTATTTGAGGACAATTACAGCGTCTGAGCTAGTGAAAGTAGTAAGTGGCCGATTTCACGGTTTAAAGAAAAGATGAACTCGGAACGATAAAGAAACAAGAATTTTCAAACATATTATAAATTTTTTTTTTCTTTTTGGCTTCAGATCACAAAATAAATTATTAATTCAATGCTAGAATAACAATTTGTTGATGTAATTTTGTTTACTATAAAAAATCTCATTTGCTCGGGAGCAAACATTACGAACGCGTTGTCGTTGTATGCGTTGCTATGGCAACCGCTACTGTTTAATAATTTGCAAACAATATAGTTTTTTTAGAATTCGTTTTTTATTAAGTTCATTATGTATTGAGATTTGGTGAGTTTGTTCTTTCGAAAGAGTTCCTACGAAATACTTTTCGATACGTGAATATAAAGAATTTTATCCCGTGAACGATGCTTTCATTTGTTTTGTTTATTTACGAATCAGAAATCTAGTCTTAATCATTGACCAATGAAATTGAGTCAACGGTTTCAGAACTATTTAACAACTATCAAAAACAAATACGCTATCATCAGAAACCTCATCCGGAAGAATATTTTTTCACCATAAATTCATTTCTAGTAGTTTGAAATACTAACAGAAAACCACTTTCTGCAGGTGGATTACTTTTTGCTAATAAAAAGCAAAATAATACAGATTAATAAGTTAAAAGTATTCCTCCTATTTACTCGCGAATTATTAAATTAAGGTAGTTTTTACACGAGATACTTAAGTATCTTTAAAAAAATAATTTATTTTATAGTTAATTTTTTTTTAAATTAAACATTCATCCTCACTTAAACCTTCCTTCACTAGTTAATCTAAATTTCAATCAAATATATTTTTTGCGGTGAAACTTATTCTTTAACTTCTTATAGTTGTTAATTACATTTAAGGATCTAATATCAAAATAAGTTTTTTACTTGGATGATTTTTTGTTTGTTTGTAATTTTTGTAGTCTTTGATGTACTTTGAAAAACAAAAAAAACTAGTTTTTAATAATTAACATAAAAATTGCTGAAATTAGAATCGGCTTGCGTCTGGTTAATTCTTAATAAGCTAATTTAGTCCTCTGGTCACATCCATTTTTTTTAAAAAATAAAGGTATCTTTCAACTGGGATATTTAATATGAAACAAAAAGTAACAGAATTAAGCACCATGTTTAACAGTTACACAGTATTTCGTGAAAATGTAACTTTTCTGCAAGCTTTCTCGGAATTTTTTCACCCCTACAAAAATAAAGGAAAAAAAAAGGAAACAAGCGTGCAGCCCTGGTTTTTCAATTCCAATTTGCCTCTCAATGGAGTGGAGAACTCCATATTTTCAGCAAGTGACAAAAGTAAGCATTTCGCTTGAAACAGAGATAACAGTTAAAATTTATTTCCTTCTCAGAATTTCGAAATCAAATAAAATATTACTTTTCTAATAAAAAAATTAGGTTTAAAAGCAACTCGGCACTTAAAGTTTGCCACACTTTGTATTAATTTTTATTTAATATTATTACATTCATTCTTTTTTCTTCAGTAGTCAGAATATTTTTTACCGAGAGATGGTAAAGAATTTTACACAATTCAGATTAGAAAAAATTTCACTGTAGGAAATACCGAGCAATGACCTAAAATCAGTGTAAGTAATAGTAGCACTTAAACTTTAAAGAGCATCAGTGATGAAAATAAGATGCAATTCCTACCATTCAAAACCAGGAGAAAAAAGACAAAAATCCTGGAACTGTTCTTTTGTGAACTTGCAAAACGAGTAGCACAAGTGTTTGCACAAACAAGATAGTTTTGTCTATCATAATATACTTTAGACGTGGTACTGCATTGATAACTTTAAAAAAAAATCAACTAGGAGGTTTTGCATATGGGCAATTCAAATATAAATGTTTTGTAAATAGTTAGAAGTAACAAGCAAGTAAGGTTCACACATGATACAATAAGCTTTTAAGCAACTATTTTAGTAAAAAATAAATAAACAAATAAAACTTTTTGATTATATTGGAGGACAGAGTGTTAAAACAAGAAAATTATATTTACAGGACTTCACCTTTTCAACTCCACCAGTTCAATTATCTTCTCTGACTTCTTATGGCTCTAGACCTTTTATTTGCAGTTAACAATCTTTTACACAAATGTTATAGTTTTTGGGCCTGGAGTCTTAAAGTTCAAATATCCATTCAAAGTGAGGAAACACAAACAAACTGTAGTTTTAAAGAATGTTAAGCTACAGAATAAAAGAAAAAAAAATACTTAATCTAAAAATAGAATATTTTTTAAATCTATAACTAGAATAAATTTTAAATCTAATTTTAGAATAATTATTCTAAAAATTAATTTATTTTTAATTACTCTAAATATAAAATTAAATTTCACTAGTCACACGTACAAACTTAGCTGACATTTCAATACATATTGAAAAATTCCTTGCAGCTATTTCAGATAAAATTTATAACAATATTTTGTGAACATAAATACTATAATATTTAGTCAAAAATACTTAATTTATTTTACAGTAATTTCCCCCAGTACTTTACGTACATGAAAATTTAAGATACTTCTCTTTTTAAGTAACAATTATTTGAACAAATTGAATAGAATAAATAAATTTAATAGAATAAATATGTAGGATTGATGTAAAAGGCTTTAGTGTAATGGCATTGGTGTAAATAAAGTCTTAAATTTAAATTTACATTTTCTTTAATACTTACTGACTTCGGCAAAAACTATATCATATCTTTCATTACATATGATCGAATATTGTCTCTTAAAATGTAATGAAAATGAAAAAAAAAATTTTCCTCGCAAAGTTTACAGTTAAATTTTAATATTGCTGTACATACATAAAGTTTTGAGTTTTCAGAAAATGATAGTGGCACTGAAGGCTGACTTTGTTAAATAAAATTGATGCAGAAATAACTAAAAAATATTAGTTTATCTCATTAACAAACATTTAATAAAATTTTTTCCTTTTAACTATCGTGACGCCCCATTTTGTAGTTAAAAATGCTATTTAAACTGTTATTTTGACATTAAATTATGACAACAGCAATGTTTATTAAAGAATAATTTTTAAGTTAAGTCAACAAGTGTATTGTAAACGTGTACAGAAAACGTAAATTATATCCTCGTAACGAATTAATTTCTATATTTTAAACTGTATATAAATAAAAATATATAGATGAATTATTGACATGCAAATATATGGGCCTCAAAAATCTAAACCACTTTGAAATTAAATTAGATCTTATTTCAAAGAAATCTTCGGCTAAATATGTTTAAAAATAGTTTTTGAATGCATAACTAATAAAAGTATGCCCAGCCACAGTATGTATTAAAGCATAAATTCTTGACAAACCTAAGTTAAATCTAAAGCAAAAAGTTATGACTACTCTAACACACGTGTGCTTACAGCAAATTCTGTAGATGCAGCATTGTCAAAAGATGAAGCACAAACACTAATAGACAAATACAGTAAAAAAAAAGGAAAAAAAATAATAGACAAGCCTTTCTTTTCTTTTTTCTCCTCAAGACAGCTTATCCTGCTTTGAATCCCGAGTCTTCATAAGATACAACAGGCATGCATCGAGGAAAGTTAGTAAGCTGTATAGTTCGCCCATTAAAGATGTAAAACAAAACAAAAAAATGACTTCTCTGTGTACTTACAGCAACGAGCAAATTCCGTTGATGCAGCATTGTTAAGAGACGAAGTACTAGCACAAATAGACAACATGCGTTGAAAAAAAAAAGATAAACCTCTTATTTATTTCTTCGTTTTTCTCAAGACAGCTCTAATCCTTTTTTGGTTCCCGAGTCTTCATACGATACAATCGGCATGCATCATTGAAAGTTAGCAAGCTGTATAGTTCGCCCATTAAAGGTGTAAAACAAAAAGTTATGCCAACTCTAAACTGACACACGTGTGTTTACAGCAACGAGCAAATTCTGTTGATGCAACATTTTAAAGAGACAAAGCACTATCATAAATAGATAACATGCATTAAAAAAAATAGACAGGCCTTTTATTTCCTTCTTATGACAACTCTTATTCTTCATTGGTTCCTGAGTCTTCATAAGATGCAATCAGCTTTTATCGAGTAAAGTTAGCAAGCTTTATGGTTCGCGCATTAAAGGTGTAAAACAAAACAAAAATTATGACAACTCTAAACTTACAGACGTGTACTTACAGCAACGAGAAAATTTTGTTGATGCAGCATTGTTCAAAGACGAAGCGCAAATACAAACAGACAACATGTATTTAAAAAAGAAAAGAATAGACAGTTCTTTTATTTCTTACTTTTTTCTAAAGACAGCTCTAATTTTTCTTCAGTTCCCGAGTCTTCATAAGATGCAATCGGCATGTATCGAGGAAAGTTAGCAAGCTGTATAGTTCGCCCATTAAAGGTGTAGTTCTAAACTATACAACCTACTACCTCACATCGAAAACATACCATAACTTATTATCTCAGCAGAAAATAGAAGCAATGTTATAGCAGAGCTAAAAATAGAACAGATAAAATATTATTTATTAAGGAATGAAATTAAAGACGGCCAGTGGGAATTATACATGACTAGACAAATAATAGTAGATAATAATAATCTGATAATAAAATTACATTAGTATCATAATCATTTTCAGAACTGACCACCGAAATTGCACAAAATTTTCTTATGAATAGGAAAATGGCTTTCACTGTTTGTTTATTAATAATGCATACTTAAATAAAAGACAAATCGTGAGTTTTAAAAGAGTTAAATAATTTAATCACCATAATTATAATCTCATGTATAAGGTCATCAAATTTGATACGCCTCCCTTCTTAAGCTTTAATTATTACGATTATGGGTCAAATTATTTGTATGGAATGTATTGAATGAATAATATTTATTTATAATTATAATACTTATTTATAATTATAATAATTAATTTTAATGGGCATTTTGAGTTTTTTTTCCAATTTTGTCCTGTTTCTTATATTTTGTGCAGTTTCTTACATTTGTTGCTTCTTAAAATTTTTCCTGTTTTACAATAAATCAAATGTTTCTTCTTATAAAATCCCAACCCTGCCTTAAGATTAGTTTTCACAAGTGGCATATCTTTCATAACTTCTTCTTAATGATCTAAATTTAATTCAATTATTACTTTTTTTTAAATTACATGCCATGCAATTTCTTCCCACTACACTTAGTCTAAGGGGAAAAGTGAATAGTGAAAAAATATGATATTCAATTAAACTAATTTAAAATAATTTATTTTAGTAAAGTGAAAAAAAAATTATTTTTAAATAGAAAAGTAAAATTTTTCTTTTCAATTTAAACAGAAAAATAATGTTTAAACAGTTTGCAAACAATTCTAGGACAAAACCATTTGCAACAGTAATATATTTCTAAAAATATTTCTTATTTTAAATGGTGTTTTTAAAAACAGGATAGTTACTGATTATAAATACATGGTTACTGAAAATCAGTGTGTGCTCTAAACAAAACTTCACGAAAAAGATTGTATTTGATTTTATATTATTCAACATGCAAAGAAAGTTTTTTTTTAAAAAAAGTATCAGTAAGTCACAAGTAAAGTAAGCATCAGTATAAATTGGAACGAAAACAAATTTTTTAATTTTCATAATCAATGAGTTGGCAACGAACACAAAAAATTCTTCAACAAATAAGTATAATTTTCGATTAGTTTTTAATAGCCTAAGTATTTCAAATTAAGATGACAATTAATCATCAATGCGGAAATCATAATCTTTAAGGAATGTGGACAGAGCGAGAGAGTAAAAAAAAAAAAAGAAAAACGAAAGAAAATTACCCGTTCCAAAATGCAATTATAATTTTAGGCAACAGCCGAAAAATCGCCACGCCTCGATCGATAGCTTATTCCCAAAGTGTCAAAGGGTGTTTTCGAAATGATCACACAAAAACACCTTTTTGGATTATGATACTGTACGGTAAAAGAAAAATTAAGAATTTATTTTCGAAACATTTTTGCTAATAATATATATAAAATATCAACAAGCAGTGCACAAGTCCAGACTCTAAACTGGGTGACTAAATAACTAATTGGGGGGAAAAAACACCATTTAAATGGTGTGTTTTTTTCCAACAATACTTTTAAATTTTTCTACTTAAACAAATTTAACTTCTGAGTTAAATAAGCTTTAGTTTAATTAATAAAAAATCTTAACACCACAAACAATGGAAGATAATTGAAAATTGCCTTGATTATAAATAAACGTACATGAAAGGAATGATAATTAAGCTTTTATTTCATTTTGATGAGAAATATATTTATCTAATATGCATAAAAAATAAGTCATAAGACTTAGTTACTTTAAAACCGCATTGAAATTCGATTAAAGTGTTAAAGTACATGCCCTGGATTGAAACGAAAAAACTATTGGAAACTATTGATAATAAAGGGCTTGGGGTAATATAATGAACGTTATGCTGAATTGTTTAGGAGAATGGTTTTGGAGAAAAACATTACATTTCCCAAATAGTTAATAAGATACTTCTTCGTATCGTTTTGTTAACCAGGGGTGCGAAAAAATCTCAGAGCGTAATATTTCCTGAGCAAACAAATTTTTTGGTTTAAAATTTTCTTTAAAAAAAAAAATCAATTTAAACGGTTTTTGAGTAAACTAACATGTGTGTTAAAAATAAGAGAAATCAAAATACACATCCGTTATTGAAAATTAGTAATATTTTATAAAATTGAATTTAAAGTTCTACTAATAAAATTAAAGACTGACATATAAAGTTATATTTAGCATAACAAAAAATATCTCTTTCAGACAATAAGTTGGTATAGATCAAGGAATTAAGAATTTTGTAGCTTTTTATTTTATTAAAGCAATAAAAAAAAACTCGTTATTTCAATTTATTAATTTGACACTTTACGCTTTTCATGTGTTGTCTTTTTCTAATTTAGTAACAGTATTACTAGCATTTTTTAATTTAATAAAAACATTACATAACATTGTAACCAGAAAAAAATAACATAAGTTAAAAGAAATATTATTGATACAAAATAATTGCGTTGAATAAGTAAACATATAAATCTTCAGTTACATCTAAAACATTCCGCGCTGTCTGGGAACTAATAAAAATGCAATAATCTTTCGTAAATTCGAATAATAAAAATTGAATTCTAAAGACCGTTAATAAAATCAGCCTATCAACACGCAGCGCGATAATCGCGTTATCGGTGAATAATTGAATTTTATTAGACACGAAACATTTAACTAGCAGAAATTCGTGATTGGCAGATATTTCCCCTTTAAAACACGCTAATTTAACTAATGCGAACGGACAGTTACCTTTCAACGTCCGATGAATGTTTAAACTTTTATTTCTGGTTAACCACGCGGAACCACTTATAATCCAATCATGCATCACGTTGGCTTTACCACTTCTAACTGGACCGGCCATAGCTTTTTTTCCCTCTTTTTTTTATATACATATATTACTATTCTTCCTCCTTCTGCTTAATTGGTGAGGCATGAAAAAATGTATTTTTTAGGATAAAATCTCATCCTTGCTGCTATTGGTCATTTTTTTTTTCTGCCGTGTCTCCGATGGTTAGGATAAAAGCATAACCCATGGCCTTTCACTATGTTAAATTGAAAAAGGATGGCAATACCACTATGAGTACCGGATTTTTTAACAAATTTATAAAACATTTATTTGTGTATGGGAATTTTTAAAAATTTATAGAACACTTATTTAATTTAAAAAAAAGGTGGCAATACCAAGAAGAGTACCGAAATTTTCAACAAATTTATAAAACATCTATTTGCGTATCGGAATTTTGAAAAATTTAAAAAACACTTATTTAATTTAAAAAAATAGATGGCAATACCCAGATGAGTACCGGATTTTTTTAAACGAATTTATAAAACATTTATTTGTGTATCGGAATTTTAAAAAATTTATGAAACACTTATTTAATATGAAAAAAAAAGGTGGCAATACCAAGATGAGTACCGGATTTTTTTAAACAAATTTATAAAACATGGAATATGAAAGCTTATACAATTTTGCATTCTTCGTTTATTTTCATAGTGCTCCCAAATATGCAACCAATTTATAATTTTTAATAATTAATTAGAATTATCAATGACAACACTGTAAAAAATTCCGAATCAAATTATGGTTTAAAGTACCGGCACTTTGGGTGCATCATCCATAAAATCGATGTTTACTATAAAATATTATACCGAAATTTTTACAGTAATATTTATTTAATAAGAGTAATGCAGTGATTTTATGGTAATTATTAATATAAAAACTATAGTTTATTAGATTTATGTATTCCGAAATATTTTCGGGTAAAAAGTACATGAATCTGAGTGCCGGCCCTTTTTAGCGTAATTTGATCCGAAATTTCGTACTGTGCCTTTTGACAGGTAAAGCGATCGAGTACATGTCGTTTAATTTTTATTATTTCACAAGAATTAGATAAAAGCAAAGCATAAATTATGTAAGTTGCTATAAAACTATTTAATTATATATACATATAATTATTTTGGCTTTATATTTAACAGTTAGCAATTAAATTCGTTATTTTTTTTTAAAATTTAAAAAGAATAAAAATAAAAGAAATTTAAAATTTATTTAAAAAAGTTCTTCGAAAATATAATCGGTAAAAAGGAGTTGCTTCTCATTTTCGGTAAAACAGAGACAAAAGAAACACAATAAGCAATTAGTTTCCATCAAAAATAAATTATTTCCTCAAAATAAATTGAAATACAAAATAATCGAGTAATGATTAGCGTTTGATGCTAACTAAACGGAAAGTTCCCCAGATTGGCAAGAGCAATTATCGCAGCAGTAACCATACGGTGGATATTAGGTTCCCAATGCTTGACTAAATTTGGGGGGGGAGAAAAGAAGTTATAAATATACATTATAGAAAATAAAAGTCCTATATGGATTTAAAGCAATAAATTAACTACAATATTCGTTCCAATTTAAACACTAAGCTTTAAAGCTCATTACAATAACTTTCTTATGTCATAAGCACTAAAATAATTTTTTTGTAAAATACTTGCTTAATTTAATATAAGTAATGATTTTGCTGCAATATTAATATCTAAACATAATTAAAGTTTATTTTAGCTATCGTATAAAGTAACATTTAGGCATGATTACTTCGAGTACTTTGATGCAATCTTATACAATTTGTATTTACTAAAGTTTGTGAATTTTTAAAAAAATTAGATAAGTTATATTGATGTGACATCGATTAAATAAATACTTTTTCCCTACACGTAATATTAAAAATGCGCTAAAAACTCCCTCCTTTTAATTTGTAATATTAAAAAAATATTAAAAACTCCTTCCCTTTAAATGTTAGATACATATTGAATAAAAACAATTGGAACCATATCCTCATTCGTTAGAAAAAAAGACATTCTGGAAAAGTACGTTTCTGAATCAGTATTTCAAAAATAATCTGCACTAATGATTTATAATTTTTGAAATTAAACCATC